GCCTGACGTGAGGTCTAGACAGCTGAGCCGGAGCCGGGTGGAAAAGGCCGGGGTAGGGACTCAAGGTGAAATTTTCCCTACCCGGAGCTCTAGGAGTGCCCAACTTGACACAGAAGTCTCTCCCGTTAGTCTTGGTCTTTTCATCTGCCCTTAGCCTGGCCTGTTATTACCCCCAATTGGACCCTGAGGTCGTACTCACCCCAACAGCTCAGCGCCCCCTCTCCAGCGCCGCCATAAGCAGCACGGCCCGGTACGTAGGAATAAATCTCGCTTCTCTCGCGAGAGTTGCGGGCTCCAAGCGCGTGCACAGGAAGGGGAGGGGAGCATAGTCCCAATACGCTTGCGCAAGAGGGCCGAGTGACGCTAACTAGTGCGCTGAGCTTAACCACAACCAAGATGGTGGCTACGTTCCACTGCCTTCCCTTGTCCAATAGCTGCTGGAAGCAATCTTGGTGTTTACTAACTCCGCTGGGACGCAAGGGGCGAGGTGGCGGGTGATTTTCGGCGTCTCTGATCTTTTCAAACCTGAATATGCTTTAAGCAGCTAAACCAGGGTAAATCTTGAAGGCGGAACAATTTGGAGGGCATATCCAGGAACGTCATAAAAAGGATTTCTCTTTTATATGGCGATAATACAGGAATCTTCAAACCCCCGTTTCTCCTCACTCACAGCGCGTTTCTCTTGTCTGTTACGTTAGGCTACGTAGGAATTTTCATTGGTAGAGAGTCAGGTTTTCAGCCAGGTAATTTGTAACTCTTAATTGTGATCTTTGTCTCCCAGAAACTATATTGCTTGCAACAGACAAGAGTGTGAGCAAGACAACATAACCTCCCCGCACTCCTCCAAAAAAATCTTTAACTGACCTTTCTGGTTACCAGAATATAATTCGTAGGCAGTCAAATAGGCTGAATCAGTAGCCAGAAAAGCTGAAATCAGGGCAAATGGATGATTCATCCAACGGTATAAAAAGCAAGCAGAAAAGTTCAATGAATTATCCCTTTGCAAACAATAGAGCAATCCCCTCTGGTGAGAGGAATGCTTTTCCTAGATTCTGTGGCTCTCTCACTTGACAATATTGGATAAACAATGACCAGTCACGCTTCCGAGAATTCTCCAACCCGCTCATGTTATTTTGGCTTTCAACACATATTTATTCAACATCTCGTATGTGTCATCCCTGGAGTGTATACAGTAGTAAGGATAAACGGACTTCTGTCTTCAAGGAACTTTCAGTCTAACATCATTAAATAATCACAAAAACAAATCTAAACATACACATTAAAAAAAGTGCAATGAAGGAAAGGTGCACAGTGTTAAGAGTATATAACCTTTAATTCTGAGCAAATCATCTTGAATTCTGAGAGGAGGCGGTATCCTACTTCTAATGTTCAAAGATTTTCTCTCCACCTCAGTTGCCATACCACCTCCAAGTTGCCTCTTTGTTCTCTTTGATGCCACCCTCTCCTTCAAGATAGTTGCTTCACTTTCAATGCTTCATAGCTCTACTGTAATTATTAGTTTGTACTAGATAAGGATACTTGAGCACAAGGCCTGTGACCTCCATCTTTGCATCCCTGGTTCCTGACAGTGCCTAGCATAGACAACTCTCAAAAGCTTGTTGAATAAATAGCACTAAACAACAGTGTAAGAAGTTGTTAAAAGTTGGAATGTTCTGTTGGGAAAGTACAAAATGCAAACCTATCAAACCAGCTGTTTTGTTTCCTTTGTCCAATTCTTAAATTGAAAGCTCTCCTTCCCAGCCTTGGGTGCTTACTCTAGAAACAAGGTCATATGAAGCTGGGCTAAAACTAGAATTGGGTCTAAGAGCACACATTCTCAAATATCACAGCAATGGGAAATGTAAAAAATAATGGCCTTGGGCCGGCCGAGTGGCTCAGTTGGTTAAGAGCATGAGTTCTGAGCAATAGGGTCGCTAGTTCGATTCCCACATGGGCCAGTGAGCTGTACCCAAGCTGAGCTGCCGCTGAGCTGCCAACAGGTGGCAGGATGGCTCGGCTGGTGAGAGCACATGGGATGGTGGGCTACGCCCACCCGCAACTAAGATTGAACACAGCACCTTGAGCTGAGTAGGCACAAGCTGCTAATGGGCAGCCAGGTGGTGACTGGACTTGGAGCTGAGCTAGCTGCGCCCTCGACAACAACTTGGCTGTTCCCCTCCCCCAACTGCCCAATAAAATCTTTACAAAAAATAATAATAATGGTCTCACCAAATTCTATAAATACAATTCCTATTACTAAGAAAGAATAGGGCCAGTGGAGTGGCTCAGTTCGTTAAGAGTTGGCTTAACACAAGCTCTGAGCAACAGGGCCACTGGTTCGATTCCCACATGGGCCATTGATGCTGCACCCGAGCTGAGCTGCCAACAGGTGGCAGGATTGTTCAGCTGGTGTAACAAGATTGCCTGTTCAATGGTGGGCTATGCCCACCCTCAACTAAGACTGAACTTGGCACCTTCAGCTGAGCTGCTGCCCGGATGGCTCAGTGGATAGAGCGTGCGCTCTTAACAACAAGGCTGTTGGTTCGACTCCTGCATGGGATGGTGGCTACACCCACCTGCAACTCAGATTGAACACAGTACCTGGAGCTTAGAGGCCACGAGCTGCCAATGGGAAGCCAAATGGCGACTGGCGCCCTCCACAGCGAAGATTGAAGAACAGCAAGTTGGCCGGTCCCCTTCCCCAATTCCCCAACACTGTTCCCCTCCCCTAATTTCCCAATAAAATCTTAAAGAAAGAATAAAAGTCTGTATCTCTACCATTATACATAGCTCCTAAAGACCTTAAACCAATAGCCATTTATCATCATCCTTCTCAACTTCCTTTAAATTCTTCCCAGATCCATAATTTGTATCAATTTACATTTAACAGAAAATGCAAATATATACATATAAACCCAGAAGGATAAATTTTATTTTATTTTATTTATATATTTTTTAAATATTTTATTGGGAAATTGGGGGAGGGGACCAGCCAAGTTGTTCAATCTTCGTTGTTGAGGTCACCAGTCACCATCTGGCTTCCCGTCGGCAGCTCGTGGCCTCTAAACTCAAGGTGCTGTGTTCAATCTTAGTTGCAGGTGGGCATAGCCACCATCCCATGCGGGAGTGGAACCAGCATTCTTCTTGTTAAGAGCTAACGCTCTATCCACTGAGCCATCCAGGCGGCAGCTCAGCTCAAGGTGCCGAGTTCAGCCTTAGTTGCGGGTGGGCATAGCCCACCATCGAACAGGCAATCTTGTTGTTACACCAGCTGAGCCATACTGCCACCTGTTGGCAGCTTAGCGACAGACAGCTCAGCTCAGGTGCAGAATCACTGGCCCATGTGGGAATCGAACAGGCAGCCCTGTTGCTCAGAGCTCGCGCTCTTAAGCCAACTCTTAGCCAACTGAGCCACTCGGCCAGCCCCAGAAGGATAAATTTTAGCTTCCAATGCATCAAAGAAAATAAATGATGGAGTAATGACTTAAATCATTAGTTTAAATGATTTATTTCTACAAGTACTACCCATAATTAGAGGTAGTTTCATTTTTAGAAGATCACTACATTTTAAGGCAATTTTTATTTATTTTTTTTTTAGCTGAGCCATCCTGCCACCTGTTGGCAGCTCAGCGGCAGCTCAGCTCGGGCTGAGCATTGAACCGCTGTTGCTCAGAGCTCACACTCTTGAGCTAGCTCTTAACCAACTAAGCCATTCGGCAGGCCCTCAGATTAATTTTGAAATCAAATTTAAAAATTGAAAAAAATATAGTTATTTTTATGTTTTTTTAAAAACTGAAGTTAATTAAAGCAGACATGTGTGAAGTCACTTGGGGAACCAGCTCCTAAGCAACAGAGTAGTCATGGATTTGGGTAAGATATTTAGTCTATTAAGAAATAGCCATCAGAACAAAAAATTGCATATATTATTTTTGATTATTTATCATGATCATTTTTCTTCTCCGAGAAATTTAAATCAACAGTGAAATCAATTATGTTTCTTTCCTCTAGAATTATCAATGAGCATATTTTCCTGGTGTTGATGAAAAATTTCCAGCCTAAGAGAAAACTTATAAGCGTTCATTTGAGCCAAACTGTTGACAATTGCCGGGAAGCAAAATCTCAACGGACTGAGAAAATGCTCCACAAAATGGCGGCTTGCAGTTTATTTTATACACAAAATTAAAGGAGGAAGGTTACATGAAATCCACTGGTGACAGATTAAGGGGGTGGGAGAGAGCAAAGTGGGGAAACCTCTGGGATTGGATAAAAGTAAATTACAGAGACAGGTACTTCCTTTACATAGGTGGGTGCAGGATAGCTAACAGCTTTTTTACAGCATATAGAAATGGTAATCAGGAGACAAGCATAATAATGAGGAATTTTGCGGTTTTCAGCTCTGGTCTGGAAAAAGGATTAAAGCGATTGTCTTAGGTGCAGAAAAACAGAGAGGCTCACTGAAAAGGCACAGACTAACTTTATGAAGGAAGCTAAAGATGTGACTTTCCACCATGGCCCACTTGGTTATGCAAGTTTTTATGCTCACGCCATTTTATGTCATTATTTTCAATCTCCTGAGCTTGTCAGGTTTAACCTGTGGCCGTCCACACTGGCATCTATGGGGGTGCCAAAAAAATGTATACTCATACAAGTGGACACTTTGGTCAATGTTGCTCAAGCAGTAGTTCACCATAATCAGAAGTGCCTGGACGCTGATGGTAACCGCTTTGAGCACCTCTTGTAATTGCAGAAGTCATATGTGGCTTGTATTCATCTTTTGTTATTGATAATATATTATTACAATTTTTATAGCTTTTTTCCTTTCTTAAAGTGTGTATAAATTTTTTTTGGCACCCTCTGTATTTGAGAATCAAAGGTAAGCATCCTTTATACCTCCATCACTGCTTTCTTGAGCAGTGATGGATGAGATTTTTATCAGTTCTTTGTGAAATCAGAAAAATTAGGTCAATGTAGAGATTTTAAAAAAAATAAGTCTACATTTATTCAAGATTTTAAGGACTGTTTTTATTCTGACATTATGTCCTTCCTATTTAGGAAAGTTAAAGGGACTTCTTTTATAAAATTATGGTAATAGTGGATGGTAAAGTGACTACATTCAAAATTTCAGGACAGGAAAACACAATTTTAAGCAAAAACTTTCTTAAAAAATAATTGTTAACGAAATAATGTAAATAAGATTTAGTCCTAGACCTCTACAATCCAAAACTTTTTATTCATTAAAAAGCTCCCAAACAGTGAAAATGCATTATATAAAAAATAACAATTATGTAATAACATGTTAGAATTTAAATAAGAACAATGCAGAAGTTTTGTATAATATTTCCCTTTAAAATGTCAACTTTGCACTTAATGAAAGAATTATGTGGACATGCTAAGCTGCTGCACTAAAAGTAATCACCATAACATTTTAGCTCTGGGAACCAGCCAGAGAGAAGGGTGAAGCAAAATAATATTTTTAATTAAACTTAAATTAGATCTTGATGAAAACCAATTGCACTTAGAATAAAATCTAAACTCTTTTGCCATGGCCTACAAGGCTGGAAATACCTAGTCTTCACTAAATGTCTAATCCCTGGTTCACTGTAATTCAGTTCCACTACCATTTTTGTTCCTTCAACATTGCAAATTTGTTCCTGCTTCAGAACACTTGCATTTACTAAAGCCTCTCTGCCTGGAATGATCTTTCCCCAAATCATCATATAATTAGCATTTTCTCAGCTTTCAGGTTTCAGCTCAAATGTTACCAACTTACAAAGGTCTTTTCTAAAGTAAAAGTACCCACTATTACCATCACTTTCCTTAATATTAGCTTGTTTTATTACCTTTGTAACATGTATTGCTATTCACAATTAACACATTTATGAATTTAATTATTGCCTTTCTTCCTATTGGTGTAAGCTTCAGTTCTCTGGTTCGTCATTGTATCCCCTAAACCTAGGTCTGTGATTGACATAATAGTAAGTACTTAATAAATAGTAATTGAATGAATGAATTACACTTATATAATTAAATCTAAAGCAGTATTGATTGCATGATACATTATTTATGCACCAGCAAGAAGAAAATATGTTGCCATTTTCCCTGAGCTCATAGATGTGCAGGTTATTTTCCACACAATTATTCTTGGCCACCAATAATACTGGTCATGCAGCATTTCCTAAGAGTGCTTCATTGTTGTCTCCAGGATTTTATTCCAAGCTGCTAATAGCTACTGTGGTAGGCAGAATTCTGAGATGGCCACCAAGATTCCCAGCTGGTGTGCATGTTTTGTATAATCCCCTTCTCTTGAGCATGGGCTGGACCTGGGGGTATTAGAGAATATCACTCTTATCTCATTTATGGCAAAAGGGATTACTGCAAATGTATTTAAGATCTCTAATCAGTTGTGTTAATCAGAGGGAGATTATTCTGGTTGGACCTCAGCTTATCAGGTGAGCTCTTAAAAAGGAGTCTAAACTAGGAGACAAGGAAAGTCAGAGAGATGATCTCCCGTTGTTGGCCTTGAAAGCCTCTGAGTTCTATACCTGTACAGAAATGAATTTTGCCAATAACCATGTGAGCTTGAGAGAGGGCCCAGAGCCTCAGATATGCTGCTAGCCTTGGTTGACACCTTGATTTTAGCCTTGTGAGATCCTGAGAAAAGACCCCAGTTGAACCCTGCATGGACTTCTGACCTACAGAACTTTAACATAATAAATGGGCATTGCTTTAAACTGCTAAATTTGTGGTAATTCATTATATAGCAATAGAAAACTAATATAGCTATACTCCAAGTTCTTATGCTGACACTCTGTTTGATCTTATAAGAAAGAGTGAATTAAAAGTTCACAGGGAACAGCTAAACCCTATTCCTTCCTCAAATGGTCCTTTGTTGACTGAAATATCAAGAGCTTCTTTTTGTCCAGCCATGCCACCAGGATGCAAACCAATTGTGCTTATGCTTAGAATCAACCACACCACAATCCCTACATGTATAAGACATATCCCAATTTAAGGATGTTAAAATATGAAATAAAAATGAATCTTAGGATGCAAAATTCACTTCCGTCAATTCCACATGTATTTCTAGGAGGCTAGATGAAATGTTGAGTGAACTGTAGTTCATTGAAGCTCTGAAGGCTCTGCCTCCTCTTTAGCATTCTTGGAGAATGACCAAAGAAAATGCATCCTTTCCTTTCCACTATGAACATTAGTGGATAATATGCTGTAATTCACTCTGAAAGTTGCCATGAGACAACTACAACTGCAAAACATGAAATATGGCTTCTTATAGGGGAATGTGTCTAATGTAAAGGAGGTAGATGGAGAATTAAAAATAAGCAAGCCAGGGCTGGCCGAGTGGCGCGTTGGTTAGGAGTTGGCTTGGGACACCAGCTGTGAGCAGTAGAGCCCTGGTTTGGATCCCATGAGGGCCAGTGACACTGCACCCTCTACAGCTAAGATGGTGAACAACAGCTCCACCTGGAGCTGGGCTGCCATGAGTTGCCGGCAACCAGCATAGGCTGCAGTGGGGCTGGCCGGCAGTGGGCGTGAGCTTTCGTGAGCTGCCGTTAGCGGCCGTCCAATGGCCAGCGAGCAACTGCCTCACCCGGGAAGAGCACAATGATAATACCAACATGGGCCAGTAAAGCGATGTCCTCCACAACTAGACTGAAGAACAAAAGGACAGCAACTTGTCCGTTCCCCTTCCCTGATTCCCCAACGCTGTTCCCTCCCCCAATTCCCCAGTAAAATCTTAAAAAAAAAAAAAAAGAGGGAGCACAGGGTTGGGGAGAGATGGGAGAGGAGCTCAAATAGATAAATGCAACATTGGGTAATGTTCTAATTCTTGAATTAGCTGATGAATTATTATGCTTGATAATTTATTTGCATGTCACATTATCCTTCTATGTGTCAAATATTACATTGTTATAAGGGCAAAATTATGCAAATAGTGCTGACAAAATTTGTATTTACATGGTTGTTTTTAAAATTATGCTTATTTTTATCAGTGAGGGCTCTTAATTGGAGGCCATCTGGGTTGATTTTAACAAAAAGTGATTTTATTAAAAGGCTAACAAGTAAATATCAGGATGGCTGGGACAGCCAGAAAACCAGAAATAGAGGCTACGTAGCCTCTAATCACTTGATAATTGCTTCAGTGACGACCCCACTGCGTCCACTGGTGGGAAGAGACACTGCAGGTTACACCACTGATTTGGCTGACACTGGATACTTGATGTTGTCACTGAAGCCACTTTTGCTGTTCCTCTGTGGAGCTGGATGTAATAGCCAGCGTTGTAGGTCACCACCTTTACCCAAAGAATTCTGCATAGCTCCATGCTTCTTTGTATCAGTAAGTTTAAAGTTTAAGGTAGATGCAGTTTCCCTAGCTGCAAAGGGCTGGGAAAACATGTATCCAACACTTTCCAATTTTTAGAAGGAATTTCCTCAACATGGCAGTTAGGATATTGGGTAGCCACAGAAGAAATGACAGATGTCTGCCACAGCCCATTTTTTTTTTTTTGGCTATTTAATATCAACACACTTGTTAAAAACTCAGTGTAAAAGGACTTGTGTCAGACATTGTTAGTTGCTGTCTCAATACTCTTTCCTCTTTGCTAATAGAACACTGATTTTATTTGGGCAGATATGTACCCAGCCTTCTTTGCAACTAGGTGACCATTTAATAGGCTAGGCAAATGAGACAAGAGGAAATCTGTCTAGAGTTTCTGGGAAAGCTTTGCTTTTCCGACTAAAAGAGGTTACATATAGCCAACACAGGCCAAGTCACGTACTTTTCCTGACTTCAACATGGACATGACATCCAGCACAGCAGCAACCTTATTGCAACCACAAAAAAATAGCATTAAGCGGGGTGGCCAGTTAGCTCAGTTGGTTAGAGCACAGTGCTCATAACACCAAGGTTATGTTTGATGCCCGCAGGGGCCACTGAGCTTAGCCCTCCACAACTAGATTGAAACAACTACTTGACTTGGAGCAGATGGGTCCTGGAAAAACACACTGTTCCCCAATAAAAACAAAACAAAACAAAATAGCATTAAGGATGAAAAACATGTGATGGAAGCAGAGTTGTAAGATAGGACCGCACCCTTTTCTATAGTAATTAGGACCACTGATTAAGTACTGTTCCTTTCAGTTGTATGCATACATACTTACAGCTACACCATTTCAGAAAACAGATGAAAATTATGTCTCATTAGTTAGGACTCCATTTATTGAATTTGTGTTTTCACGTATGGACTGTGGTGTTTCTTTTGCACTATTAATCAAAATAGGTTTTGTTAATCAAGAACAACTTGAACTCTGGAGTATTTGGCATTTAAAGATATCTTAACTCAGTGGTTATGTTTGAGTCTGTCCGGGTTTGAATCTTGTCCAAACTAGAACCCAGTTTGGAAAAATAACATAACCTCCTCGTGCCTGAGTATCTGTAACACGAGGTGCAGTTGAAATGGAGATTATATAAAGACTAGAAAGGTTGGTGCTACCCATTTGTTGTACCTCAAGCTTATATAGTCCCACCTCTGTATCCTATATATCTCTATATTGAATTTATCACACTGCATTGTAACTATATGTATACCTGTTTGTCCCTTTTACTAAATTTTTCTTGGAAAATAGTGTCAATGCCTCCCCTCCACCCTTTTGCCACTCTTAGTTCCAAATGAAGTGCCTGGTATATAGACCAGACATTCTCAAATTAGTGTCCTTAGAAGTTATCTGGGATGATTAATAAAATACAAATTCCTGGATCCCATTTCCAAATTTCTATTTCAGTAGGTCAGTGAGCCACATTTTAAGGAACACTGAAATAGACCTTTAATGTTTGAATCAAATTATGCCTAAGGTATTAATATAATTCAAGGTAATAAAGGTAAATATCAATAACATTTAAGCATGTTTCAAGATACTTCCAAACTTAGTTTCAGTTTTATAATTTGATTTGCAATCATATAATTTATGACTTCTAATCATAAGGAAATCCCTAAACCCATTTCAGAAACAACTATTTATAGCATAATACTGCTGACTACACTGTGCTTATTACAAAATATTTATGAAAGCCTGTCTACTTAACAGGTTGCTTACACATGTGAAAAATAAACTTTTGCATTTCCTAATAATTAGACTCATTACTGAGTAAAATTATCTGGTCTTCTCAAAATGAGGTTTTTATTAGAAAAGGTAAGTTTGTCCAAAGATTTTGCAAACTAATCAAGTTCTTCCATCTACTACGAGAGAAACTTTAATATTCACGTAAATCAAAGAGAAAAACATTCCTTCCCCTCTTCAATTTTTTAACAGCACGTTATTTTCATTGTATTAACACCAGCCAGAATTTATATTATATAGGGCACTGAGAGCTCTTTAGACTCATACTTCAAGCTCTTGATTTGCCAAGGGGCAAAGTTAACATATAGATTTATCCTGATATCTGAGATGTAAAGAACTTTATAAACAACTCAAAGGAACATAAGGCAGATAAAGGGACACCATGTTATACTTTAATGGGCTATTTGTCATTTTCACAAAACTGGCCATGGCAGCTGACAAATGGTATAGGGTACCCTGGAATGTGGGACATATGGTGGCACTTAGGGCATATACTTCAAGGCAAATAGCTGGGCTAAAAGTTTACTTACTCTTGAGAAATGAGATAAAAATGCCCACACTTGGGGTAGAAGTACCTTCCAATTCTATGCAGGACTTTGAATAGAAATTTGACAAATTACTAAATGACATATTCATTAAAGCCCACCATCGTAGGCAAAGTCCATTAGGATTAGTAGGATCAGAAGCTTTTAGGATATCTTGGAGAGATTTTGTTGTTTTAATTGGAGTTAATTTTTTACAGCAGTACAAAAAAAATTTTTTAATCACACAAAACACTAACCAAGGATTTTTTAATACTGCGTCTCTTCCAATATTATTAGAAAATATTGACAGGTTGGCATTCATTATTTCAGTTATTTTGGGCGAACCTAAATTGATAGTATAACATGAAGTAATTTGTAAACTTGAAATGTGAGTAAACCAAGCTAGGGCAATGAGTTGATGAGTGAGCCTAGCTGACCACTAAGCATTTGAATCTCCACAGTGCTTTGTTGCCTACTATGAACAGCACTATGAATGTAATAACTCTCGTTAAGTGATAAAACTTAGCTTCCTTGTGAAAAATAGATCTAAAAAGAAACCAACTACTGGTACTAGTAATGAAAGACATCCAAGTAATTGGTGGTTCTTAACTATATAATAGAAGTTATATATAAATAGCAGAATGTGCTACCTAAGAATATGCTGTGAATAAACCTATTATATGCTCTTCACATTTGGTGAACTACCCAAGCTGAGGACTTCCTAATAGGACAAAACTGAAAAATTGGTTACTAATATCAAATAGAACAGATAAAAGCTACTTTTAGCATTCGAACTAAATATGCACAAGACATATTTCTCAGCATCCTTTGAATATGATGATTATACTACTACCAGAAGAAAACAGCGGACTTATTTTCAAGTATGTTTCCTGGGGACGAACAGTAGGTTCTCTCAAATTAAGAGTTAAAGACACAATGGGCCGGCCAAGTGGCGCGATGGTTAAGAACTCGCTTGGGATGCCAGAGGGCCCCGGTTCGGATCCCACATATGAGGGCCAGTGACACTGCCCTCTACAGCTAAGATGCTCAACAACAGCTCAAACTGGAGCTGAGCTGCCGTGAGTCGCCGGCGACGGCGTAGGCTGCAGTCCCTGCGGCAGTGAGTTGCCATGGGCTACCGTATGTAGCCAGCAACTTGTCTGTTCCCCTTCCCCAATTCCCCAGCACTGTTCCCATCCCCCCAATTCCCCAATAAAAAAAAAAAAAAAAAAGAGTAAAGACACAAGGCTATAAAGTGCCAACTCTTAGCACCAGAGAGACTTAAAACTACACAGAAGGTGAATGACATTACAAATCAGAGAATTTGCCAATCTAGTTCTGCAGACTTGTATTACCTTTCTCAAATGGTAAACAATCCAGGTTTATGCCAAATAGATTTAAAAAGGTAATCTCTTTTCAAAATTTTTTGTAATTGCAATTTACACTCCTATATATAATCAAATCACTGCCTTATAATAAAATGCTCAAAGTTTCAGAGATGTGAAAAAACAAATGAACTGAAAACACAGTTTATATAAGTTGAGGTCCCAGACGTGAAAGTTAATAGTCTCTTAGAAAAAGGAATGGTGAAATTCAGTGTGTATTTTCCCAAACACACCCAAAAACTCTTTTGTGAATAACCAATTTTGACTGCCAACTCAAAATTGCCACCTGATTCCTTTGATCAACACTCAATCAAGTCTGAGGCAAGACAGTGAAAAGACGATACTCGAATAGAAAGAAAGGAACTTCCTTCCTTGATAAACAATCACCAGCCAATCATTCAGAAACTGAAGTTATTTGATAGCTTGGGAAGTAGTGTCCATTGAGTTTTCCTTCCTGACCTGAAGTGACTCACTGCTGATGGACAACAATTCTCGAAGTTCCTTATTTTCAAGCTGAAAAAAAAGGGTATATGTTTATTTCAGGTATGTTGACTGTCAAACTGCATCACAACACACTGTTTTGGGCCAGGAACAGAAAGTTTTAAGACAACAAAAAAGCTGAGAATTTCCTAAAACACTACTTATTTATTCATCTAACAAACATATACTGAGCAATTTTTATATGCCACGTGTTCGGATTACAAAGGTCCCTCTCAACTGGAGGAGTTCATGGCTTGTCATACTATTCATGGTTCCCACAAGTTTTGCTACTGTTTCCTCTTTCAAATTCCTAATAATATTTTCATTCTGCTCAATCTTCTCTCCTAGGTGTCCTACACTTTTGGAGAAAGGAAGGAAGGAGGGAGAAGAAACTACTTACTGGCCACGTAACCAGGGACCATGTGGGTGTCTCACACATACTACCGCACAACCAACTGTAGAGCAGGTAGCACTGCCTACAACCATGTTCTCTTTGAATGAGGACACTGTGGCTCACAAAAGTCCAAAAACTTGTCCAAAATCAGACAACTTGGATGTGGTATTGCCGGGGTCTCAATCTGATGCCCATGCTTTTTCCACTTAAAGTATTAAGTAAAATTTGTGTCCCATTTCCTTATGGCTGTTTTCATACTGAGGTTAAATCAGGGATAGTGTAGACAAGGTCATTCTATGATTTTAACTAACTCCTAATTTCTAGTTGGGACCTTGTCACTCTCTTTGATTTCCAGAAGGAGCAGTTTGCACTCATCCTTATTCTCTCTGCAGGAAATTCTGGTAAACCATACCATTTTTCGGGCTTCAACAACAGAGTCAGGGTCATTAAATCTTCTATCATATAAAGTGCTTCCTCCAGTACTTTGTAGCTGTCTCCTACCATTTATATACCATTTCATACCATACAAGTACACCAAGTCTTCAATTAACGTCATCAATAGGTACTGTGACTTGAAGCAAAACAAAGAAACCAATTTTACCAAAGGCTAATTAATATAAACAAGAGTTAAGTTCCTATGGCATCTTATCAATGCTATATCCAAATGACGCTGAACGAAACGAAGTTATTTGACGGCCTGGTGTACTAGTCTTACTCTTTTCACTAGATTCTGAGCAGGGACCCTGTCTTTTTCTCTTTAGTATTTCTTGAAGGGCCCACAATAGCATCTTGTAATATGCAGCATTCAAATCATCTATTATAATGTTTTTCCTCAACAATCTTACGGGCGTACTAACACCCCAGGCCTTTCTTTGTAAATTATTTCTATTTTAATCAAAATATTACATTAAAATAGCTTTTAAAAAATCAAGACTACATGGCTTATAAAATAAACAGTAGTTCCTTGGCTTTGTTCACCAAAGGTAACCACTTTTAATACTTTTATCAATTTCTTTGGTATTTACTTCTATAATTTTAAATTATATGCCTGTACTGCTATTTCCTGGTCATCAATCTTAAACATTATCTAGTGAACTTCCTTTTATGGCAGATGAGGAATTTTAGTTCATATGTAATCTGTCCTTTCCACTCTCTCTACCCTCTTGATCTGATAATATTTCAATTTCTAGCCAATACATAGTTGGCATTTTCATTGTTTGCTGCTGATTGCATTTCCTTTCTTGAAAAGGGTATGGAGGAGTTTTAATTTTAAAACATGAGCACACATTGCAATGCTTTGCAATGATAGGATAGTAATGGCATACCTTCCAGGCGCTAAGAAAACTCCATGAAATATTGTGAACTCAAAATAGTAATAATCTGGGGCCAGCCGAGTGGCTCAGTTGGCTAAGAGTTAGCTTAAGAGCGCGAGCTCTGAGCAACAAGGCCGCTGGTTCGATTCCCACATGGGCCAGAGAGCTGCTCCTGAGCTGAGCTGCCAATAGGTGGCAGGATGGCTCAGCTGGTGAGAGCACATGCTCCTAACAAGGCTGCCTGATCGACGGTGGGCTATGCCCGCCCGCAACTAAGACTGAACTCAGCACCTTGAGCTGAGCTGCCGCCCGGATGGCTCAGTGGATAGAGAGTGTGCTCTTAACAACAAGGCTGCAGGGTCTGACATCTGCATGGGATGGTGGCTACGCCCACCCGCAACTAAGACTGTAACACAACACCTTGAGCTTAGAGGCCACAAGCTGCCGAATAGCAGCCAGATGGCGAATAGCAGCCAGATGGCGACGGGCGATAGGACTAAAGAATGACAACTTGGCTGTTGTTCTTCAAAAAATTCCCCAATCAAATCAAACAAATCCCCAACACTGTTCCCTCCTCCAATTCCCCAATTCAAAAAAAAAAAAAAAAGCAATAATCTTACCTCTAATTGGGCTAGTTTTTCCTGAATCTTACAAAATTGGTCATCGTCCACCTGAACTGCTTTCCTCATCACTTCTCCCATTTCACAGATTCTATCAATCTGACTCTCAATTTCCTGGGAAGATATTAACACAAAAAAAGGTTAAAAAGTCATCTTTCCTACAAATAGGAAGTTCATGAAAACAGGTGCATTACGATGTTAAGAAGTTCACTGAATTATGCTACATGTTACACAGGAGTTTCACTATAACCTGAGTCCTCAGAGGTGAAGCCATGATAAAGTTATCTTGCGGTAGTCACAAATAATTTGTTTTCAAAAGATCGATTCTAGTCTAACCACCCATTGGATGTTGGACAATATATCTTAAGTGGCTGTTGAACTTAAATTAGAATACTTTTATTGGCAAGCTCAGAATATTCCAAGGTACCTTATTCTGTCTATGAACTTATCTCTTAGCAAGTTTTTCATATGAGCTAACCACTGTCTCCTTCAAGGTTCAAGTTTTCTCCTCTAGACTAAAGAAAGTTTTCTTTTCTAGATGAAAGCCATAAACATATTTAAAACATCCCTGTTCCCTAAGACTTTTGTTAAGTCAGTAAAATGTTTGCAACAGAATCTAAGATAAAACTTTTCATCAATTCCACTGTAGCAAATAGTGAGGCACCATTCTATTAATCCAGGATTCAATGACATAGTATATGTGAGTGTACAGTGACAACTATGAAGCACTCTACAAACAGAGGAACAATTACTGGGTCTCCCAAATTAAGTCATGAGCAACCAAAGTGTAGAAACTATGCCACATATGTATTTTTTAAACCATACTTCTTTCTCTCAACGAGAGTATGTATGCTATGTAGTTCAGTTTAATAAAGGTTTACCAACTGCCTGCTATGTGCCAGGTACTATGTTAGTAATAAAAAATGAATTCATGCTCCTTACAACCAAGGAGTTTACAGTTTAGTGAAACGTACTATAATAACCAATCGAGTATTTACTGAACACCTTCAAAACTAACTGGCATTAGTTTGGTGGAAGAACTAAGCATTCATTAACATCTTGGAAAGAGATCTTGGTGAGGGAGGGAGGAACCTTAGTCCTACGCAAATAAAAGGACCCAAGCAGCCCCTTACCTCCTTCTTTCTTTCTAGTCATATCTTTACAAAACTATAGCAAAATCAACAGTGAATGTAATAAATGTGAAAAGAAAAAACACGCTAACTTTTCTTCAAAAACAAGCACACAATCTAAAACAATTCCAAGACTTCAGTTCATTTAGAATTTATTCCTCACAGTTACTTACTGCAGAGTGAGACTGGTGAGCTTTCAGGACTGGTTCGGCATCCACAGTTTTTTTGGCAACCATTAATTGTAACATCTGTTTCCGGTACTTGCTCATGATGAGTTCCAAAGCATCCTGGTGTTCCTCCAAGGAAACCCATAGCTCTAGCAAAAAATGAAATAACTTGGCAGTGTGTCTGAGAGAGAGCTCTCAAAGCCAAACTCTTACCTGCTGGAATTTTATGACACTCCATGAAATATTGTGACTCCAAAGTTGTAAATAAGCGTTCAGGTCCACAAAACTCAACAGTTAAAGTCTATGTGAAACAAAACTTTCTAGGCAGAGGCAGCATAGTTCGGTAGAAACATGGGATATGGAATCTGAAGGCATGGGTTTGAGTTCAGTTCTGTGAGTTACTAGCTTAATTCTCTTAAGCAAATCACTTAACCTCTTTGAGCCTATTTCTTATCTGCATTGTAATAATACCTAGCTTGCTTTAACTCAAAATGAAGATATAAGAATACAATGGGATAATCTATGTGGAAACCCTCTGTAAATTGGTATACAAATGACTATTCATACTACTATCATTAATAATGTACTCATTCAACCTAAGAATACATACCATAAAGTATAAAATTCAGCTCTCTCACTTTGCACAAGAACATTTTAAAAACCTTCAATCTTAATTTTAGTATTTATTTCAATTACTATTTAAACATTGAATTTTAACCCCTTGAGGATATTAACTCTTGTGCAAGCCTCCACCTGGGGATGCCTAAATAAGCCATGCAACAATTCAACTCTACTAAGCACCTCTTTGATAAGCTGCTTATAAATAAAATGAGTTGGACAACCTTGAAAAGGGTAAGGTAACAAACTTTATTGTTAATGGGCTAGCACATGATAACTGTCTTATTAAAAGTAGTGACCTGAAATACACACAGCGTGTGCACTTTTGTGAACAGTTTGGCAGGTTTGCAAGAACTTCTGAAATATTACTGGGTATGACAAAATCATAACAACTCCACGAAAAGGCAGGACTAACCTCTGTTCTCCTGCTGCAAGTCTCTAATCTGTGTATTCTCTTGGGACAGCAGAATGTGAGGTTTATATTTGGACATGTCCTTCATATCGGATGCATCCTCTTGATACTGGACAAAACAGAGACAGACTAAGCGCGCCGTAAGCAGAACAACCACAGATGCAACCTAAGAGGCTGGAGTCAGGGCTCCAGCGCATGATTCTCATCCCCGACTCCGCAGAGGGGTCTCACCGCCGCCCTCTGAGACCAGAATAAATTCCAGGCAGAGTTCCCACCTGACCTCGCCTTCCACCCCTCAAGTGCCCAGAACCTGAGGGCACGGACCCCTACCCTTTGCCTGACCTGGTCCGGAAGCGCTGTCCCCGCCTCCCGCATAGCGGCTACCCGCCGGTGCAGCGCCGCCGACTGATCGACCAGCGACTCAGCGGCCGCATCGTGCTCCCGCAGCCTCTCCAGCAGCGTCTTAGCGTCTGTCAGGATCTTCTCGATGGTGCAACTCATAGCGGCCACAGGACCACAGCTCCAGCCCTGCTCACCTAAGCGAATCGCTGGGATCCTCCCTGAACCTGTCTCAGCGTCAATAACGTCACTTCCGGGTACGATTAAAAGGCGCCGGGGGCAGCCATGATATGCGCATGCGCGGTGGCATCCTAGTGCCCCCAAGGACCCGCCTTCACACCCGGCTTCCCTGCAGCCCTGCCCTTCGCAGGGACTGAGGCCTGCCCTTGCCACGCCCTTGGTTTCCAGTTCCCACAGCTTGGTGGTTGAGTATTTAGCTGGGCTGTCCCAGTTTCCACCTTCCCTACTGGTTTTTGATTGATGTGGATTCTTAGTCATCATTCTTTTTTTTTCTCAGTTTTTTTTTTAAATTCTGGTAAAATACACATAAAATTTATCATTTTAACTATTTTTTAAATGTATAGTTCAATAGTATTATGTGCATTCACAATGTGCCACCATCTTGCAAAACTAAAACTCTGTACCCTATTAGGACCTCCTCTCAGCCCCTGGCAACCACTATTTTACTTTCTGCCTCTGAATTTGACTACCTCAGGTATCTCATGTAAGTGGAAACATACAAACCATATTTGTCATTTTTGTGACTGGCTTATTTCACTTAGCATAATGTCCTTAATGTTCATCCATGCACAACACAATTTCCTTTCTTTTTAAGGCGAATATATCTATCTATCTCACATTTTGTTTATTCATCCATTGGTGGACATTTGGGTTGCTTCCACATTTTGGCTACTGTGAATAATGCTGCTATGAACATGGGTGTACAAATATCTGTTTGAGTTCCTGCTTTCAATTCTTTTGGGTGTATACACAGAAATGGAATTGTTAGGTCACATAGTAATTCTTATTTTAAAAATTTTGAGGAATGGCCATAATGTTTTCCACAGTGGCTACACCATTTGACATTTTCACGACATTTCCAATTTCTCCACACTTAACTATTTTCTGGGTTTTTTTTTTTATATCCATCTTAAGGGGTGTGAAATGGAGTCATTGTTTTCTGCTCGCCTATTTTTTCTATTTTAATTCAATTAATAACTTGATAAATTTAACCAGAAGAGCAATGACTTTTGTGCTGCTTGTTGTAATGGTTTATGAGTATACCTTGTCAAGATTGTCTGTCAAATTTTGTTCTTTTTCATTCATTACTTTAGCAAATACTTTCGGAGAGCCTTTTTTGTTTCAGGAACTATTGAGTTTTGGAAATATAGCATTATCTTTGCTTCTAGACCTGCTCCTCCTGTTTCAGTAAAAAGCACATTATACACTTATTTGCCCTAAACAGAATCCTGGAAGTCATCCCTTATTTTTCCTACTAATTCTTTACACTCATCCACTCATCAGTTACCAAAGCAACCTATCTGGTTTACATCTTTGGGACATATTTCCTTCTTTGTATTTTCACTGCCACTGGGTAGGTTGAGCCATCATCCTTTCTCACCCAGAGAAAGCAACAGTCTCCCAACTGGCCTTCTCCCTACCTCAAGTCGTTTCCTCCTCTAATAGCTCTACCACAACCCCTTGCTGCCCTTTCAGTGGCAGGTAATTGTTTTTTTATGCCCTGCCCACATTAAGACTGAGAACAAGACTGGTTATGTTATACTAATTCCCTGCGACACTGACAATTACTCTTACTTGCTTACGTAAAATCTCCAATTTATTTGAAGTTTGTATAATCCAGCTGAAGAATCTTCTATCCCTCATTCTGACTACCAATTATTGACCTTCTTCTTTGAGTATTCTCCTTCATTCATAGAAGATTTCAGGAATTGGCTTAGTAGTTTGGTTAATCCATACTCACCTTGGGTGACATTCGTGTCCATGTGGACAATTCATCTAATGTTCTATTCTTCCTTGACCTCCACAGTTCTAGAAACATTCAATTTATTTTGGCTATCTATGGCCAGACCCTTGATCATTTACCAAAAATTGTTTCTCATCAGAAATGTTAAGCTTTACCATCTAATTCTTTGTCTGCAACCTTTGTTTCAATCGATCTAATTCTTGCAACCCTTTCTCCCACTACTGTCTGTTTGACCTTATCCAGCTCTTCTATTTCTGAATATATCAATATTCCCCCTACCTATCAGACTCTTTTCTTGTGGTCTAATATTCTTTCCCTGATCAGACTGGGCTCTTATGATTGGCAGTCTGAACCACTGTCTTTCTAGCATCCCTAATTTCTTTGCATCTCTCTTTTTAAGCCAAATGCAAGCAGTTAACTCTAACCCTTGACCAATCCTATGGTTCTAGTAGTGGTTAAGAGGGGATACAGAAACAAGGGAGGGTTTTTGTTTATGTTTTTTATTTTGTTTTTATGAACAAGCCTTGAGCATGCTTATAGGCTTTATAGAGGAAGGATCCAATCAAGAAACAGATACAAGAGAGTAGGGGGACATTCAAAGGAGGAGAAGGGACATAATAGCTTTTTAATAGATCTTTGTTGAATGTTTATTGGGATGATAGGCATAAGGTTAAGAACACAGGTGAAGATTCTGGATTTGAATAGAATAAGAAACATTTCATTTTCCTTAATTCAAAGGAAAATAAAAAGGATAGATACAAATATGAATTCTAGATGGGGAAACATGAAGTTGAAGGGAACAATAGCCTTCAAGCCATCCCAATACTTGTGCATCCCACCCATCAATAAACCAATAAGATAAGCTCAGGCACTTTTAGTGTTGTTTATGAATAGTATACAAACTGCCCAAGACCTCTTTTGCTTGTTCTGACTTATTTTCATTCTGACCTATTTCTATTTGGCTCCCGTTTCTTGGCTTTACTTTCTCATTATTTCACTCTTACTCTTTGGGTCAGGAAGTGATTCGGGGTCTCCCTACCTTTATTATCAACTCTCAGATGGCCCTATCAGCAATTCTACTTCTGCCTCTCTCAGAGTATACACCTTATCCCAGTGATCCTCTGATGATCCAAATGCTAAATCTGACCCCTACACACTTATGTGAACTCTAGGGAGGGAGGTACTTGGACATTTTACTAGAAATACCTCTTCTAGTACCATGCCCATTGCTGTAGCCATACCACACAGACAGGATAACAGACTTACTCCTGTCCCTGAACCTCAGAAACCCTGATCAGAAGTGTGGGGGTACAGGGCTCTGGGAGCAGATGGTGGTTCCAATGGTCCGCAACAGAGACAGGGCAGAGATACTCGACCTCACCTGACCCCTAGTGTCCCTACAGCTTCCTTCAGTCATTTCCACACATCAATATTGTACCTTGTTGATTTCACCCTTTTGATACCTCTGGGAAATATTTGAAATAATTCAAAATTCAAATCTTTATAGATACTTAGAATTTATGGTTAAGAAGTAGAGCTGTACAGCATTATATGTCCCATCTTGCATTTATTAAATACCCTATTTTGCTCCTTTTTCATTTCATATGGTGAGTTTTGAACTCTCAGCCCCAGTTTTCCTGTTGCTGCTAAATAATGGCTTTCTAGGACTCAGCCTTGAAAAACCACAGACCCTCATAATTATGGTGAGAGAAATCTCAACAAGATAGGGAGAAATGTTTAGTCTTCTAGAAAGTCAGAAAAGTAGGTATTAGTTTGTATTACAAAATTTTCCTTGTAAATGTTAATTCTAATTAAGAGACACAGACACCCTGACTTTAGAGATTGTTGCTGTGGCCTATCAAAGTAAACTTTAATATCTACAAAGTCTATAATTCTGATTGGTTGTCTTACTACATTTAATGCCTTGGTAATAACCTTTAAATTGACATCCCTATTTTCTAAAAGGTCTAAATACACTTTGTAGTGGGTTGAATTGTGTCCCACCAAAAGACATGTCCATGACCTAACTCCTGGTATCTGTGAATGTGACCTTACTTGAAAAAAAGATCTTTGCATTTGTAATTAAGAAAAAGATCTCTAGATGAGATCATCCTGGATTAGGGTGAACCAGAAATCCAATGGTAGATGTCCTTAAAAGGGACAGAAAAAGAAGACACACAGAGACACACCAGGGAGAAGGTCATGTGAAGATGGAGGCAGAGATGGTGTGTCTACAAGCCAAGGAATGTCAAGCATTGCCTACAGCCACAAGAAGCTAGGAGAGAGGCATGGAATGGATTCCCTGAGTCTCTGAAGGGGTGTCAACCCTCTAGACACCTTGATTTCACACTTATGATCTCCACAACTCTTGTTTTAAACTACCAGTGGTAATTTGTTATGACAGCCCTAGAAAACTGATACACACATATAGGTTTTGTTTTTGTTTTTGTTTTTTAATAAAATCAGAACATCATTGGTACTGTTCTCTTCTCCTTCATGTATGGAAATTTTATAAAATATAAAACAAAAGAGATGACTGGTAGATTTTTAAAAATAAACAGAGTCTAATTTCATTCAAATGAGATTACAAGCAGCAGGCATTTTTGGTATTATCAAAATGTTGGGAAGACAGCAAGATGGGTGGTCCTAGTTATGAAACTCCAAATACTCTTTACCATTATGCTATCTACTTTTAGTGTGGAGTTAGGGTAGGGTGGGGAGTTAAATATGTTTCTCTCATATAAAAAGAGGTAAAATCAGCAGCTGAGAATGGTAGTGGGGTTGGTCATTGAATGGTGCAAAGGTCTGGAATAAAGTAATTATTGAAGTGAATCAGAAGGTATATCATTTATCTATTGCTGCATAATAAACTGCCCAAAACTTAGTGGCTTAAAACAACAACCATTTATTTTGTTCATGCGTGTGCTGGGTAGTCCTTCCAGTTTGGGTCAGGCTTGGTTGCTTCCAGTTTGTGATTAATTTGTTTGAAGGGGTATTCACTCACATGTCTGGTGGTAGGTCAGCTGACAACTGGAGTGATGAGGGTGACTGTCTTTCATCCTCTAGTAGGCTAGCCATAACTTGTTCACATGGTTACTGGATTATGATGCCTAGCTGAAGAAGAAATCATTCCAAGCCCCAGTGTGCAATTGCTTACTCATGTGTGCTACAATGTTTCATTGGCAATGCACATCACATGGGCAGCCCACATTCAAGGGGTCGAGAAATAGACTCCACATTTTTATGGGAGGGAAAGAATGTGTGTC